TGCATTACTTAAACTTTCCTTATACAACAATCACAGTAGCTTTTTAGACTCTATGCCAGAAAAAGGCCACAATTGCCTAATACACACAAGGCGTACAGAGTATGGACAAAATAATGGAAACACCTAATGCCACTGTACAAGTTGCAAAGTTGTACATAATCGACACACCTATTGAAAAGGACTGATAATTTTAAGTAATTAAATTGCAGCTGTGGGCGTTACAATGGCACAGTGATTAGTATTGTTGCCGCGCAGTGCTGAGGGCTTGGGTTCAATTCTGGACTTTGGGTGCTTTCTTCACAAGGTTTAGATGTTCTCCCCCGTGTCTGAGTGAGCTTCCTCCAGGTTCTCCAGTTTCCTCCCACACAGTCCAAAGACAAACTGGTAAATTAACTGGCTTCTGGGAAAACTGGCCCTGGTGTGAGTGTGTGCCTGTCTTTGTGTCGTTTGTGTCTCCTTCTGCAAAGGAATGGCATCCAGTCCAGGGTGTTTTCTTCTGTGTGCCCATTGCTTAGGCTCTGGCTCCCCTGCGACCCTGAACTGGATGCAGTGACTAGCAGATGGATGGATAAATCACAATTAAAAAGGATTCTACTTAATTTCATATTAATTTCAAAACTAATTGCCAACATATTTCAAAGCTCACTAACAGGGGTAGACAGACAGGAAGGACAGCCTTCAATCCACCCTGCCTGTTCCTAGCTGTTTAACATGGTGATGGATCTGTTATTGTATGGGCAGTCATCTGATGGGTCATTGGGTACTCTGCATGCTAGAATTACAACCAAGGAATACAAAGCCATTTTAGGTGATTAGTTGCACCATATGGTGTAAACATGGTTTGCTCAAAATGTTTCCATATTCTAAGATGATAAGGCTCCATGCACAGTGCTAAATGGATTCAACAGTGGTTTCATGAACACCAGGATGAAGTCAAACACCTTCAATAGCCTCCCCAGTCACCAGATCTAAACATCATTGCATTGAACCTTTATGCGGCATTCTGGAGCACAGAACGTAGTAGTTTTCCACTTCCTTCATCTCTCAAAGAACTGGAGGCTTTACTTCTTGAATAATAGTCCGATAGCTGTCCAATCTAGAGGTCCCACTTCAAACAGTTCAAAACTTGTAGAACTGTATTCCAAGAATGATTTAAGTGGTTTGGAAGGCAAAGGGCAGTCCAACTACTTATTAGTTAGTAAATATTTATACACTGCGTGGTGTTTCCATTATTTTGTCCACCCCCTGTACATACATCACAGCACTGAAGAAGGCCTACATTGCAAAGCAATGAACAATCTTGAGATTTTTCAGTACCATCTATGGTTTCTAGATAAGAAGGTCTTTTAGACTTGTGTGTCTATTTAAGTGACTTCTGTGTTAAAGTCTTGCCAGTGGGGATTTCACATTGATTCACTTAGCTTTTACATTCGCAAACATTCTTAATCTCTTTACAAGTCATAAAACAAAAAAAAATTAAATGTCACCAAACCACTGTATGAAATGTCTGCCTACATTTTGTATAACTTACAGTACTTATCTAAAACTTCAATCACATCAAGATAGTTTAGAAGTTAACAAGTTACCAAAAACCTCATATTTCAGCTCCTGTAGCAGGCTGACTAGTATTTCTATTTTTTGTAAATTGAAAGCAAAGGAAATTTGGAGGAAAGGTAGATAGCATGGTTAGCCATGGATATAAATATTGCTGTAAAGGCTTGCAGCTTACTTTAAAACCTTCATAAGGGTACTGTTACAAAAATGTCATGAACCACTCTGCTATACTGATAGAATGGAAAGAGGATGACATCCAAAGTACTAATGCTATTCATTCAGTCACGTTAGCAATGAAATTGACAAGTAGTAGTTTCAGCAATATTTGTACTGAAAGTGTAATATAAAACCCAACATATGGATTTGGTTATGAGAGCTAACCTTACAGTTAAGTTCATATCACATTTATCTTCACTGTCTGCCAAAATATAAAAGAAATTGATATTCGCATACATCACTGTTTCTAAACTAACAAACTACTTTACAATAGAGCATTTACCCATGCAGCTACCTTCAGAAATATCACAGTTTTAGCCGAGGACGGATTGAACTTTTTTCATATCTAAAAACCACAAACTGTGCATTTACTACTGCCTCTCTCAGTATTGAAGGCTTAATGTTAGCTTGTGGGTCTGTTTCAAAAGAAACAACATGAATACTTGGAAATAATGCTTACTATTTATTGACCATATTTAATTGAATACAACTTTCAAATCTTTCATCTTTAAAAGTAATTGATGCAATACAAATGTCCATTTGTCACTCATTTGTTATCCTTTAACACACCATAGTTGTCCTCATCTAACCATTACACACAACTGTAACTTGATTAAGTGCAGTTAACTTGTGAGCTCTAATTCTTTAAAGACCAATATAGCATTTGACAAACCAGGCTGATGCAATTATTTGTTCCAAACTCACAAAGAATAAAATGTTCTTCCTCCCATCTCTTAAAGAACTAATCATTATCTCAAAGTGTAAGAGAAATAAGGCATTACATTCATCCTCATCACTCCTACACTGTGCTCATCTTGTAACACCAAGGACGTTACAAACTTAATTCTATACACTCACATCCTAGAATAGACTACAACAATTAGTTGGTAAGGCAGAAGCAGAAAATCAGCTACATCATTTAACACAGAGAATATAACCAGGACCATCAACAGCTATGTAAATACATATCCACCCCTTTCAAACACAATGTACAATATAAGGAACATTGAATCCCTAGTGCATCTTCCGCTCATTTTAAAAATTATTTACAAAAAGATGTTCATCATTACAAGGCATTCATTCTAATTTTGTTCTGGTAATACTGTAAGTCAGGATTTCTTATCAGAGTAAAGCACCCCAAAACCTACACTTATATGCAAATAAACACACTTTTGTGCTATCACACAAAACACAGACATACATTTACAAATGTATTAAGCTATAACGCTAACAGATTTGACAACAAGGCTGCATGAACAACACACATTTTTTAAGCAAATGTATGTTTTCAACAATAAAATTAGACTGAGGAGCCTTTTGGCACATAACCTGCTATTGGTTAAATTCAGACACAAGGTTATTTCCTGGCTTTTCTACAATATACACTGTCTAGAAAATGTTGGTGAACCACCTAGGCTGTTATTACTAATACTAATATTACTTATATTTTTTTTACTAATGTAATTAGACCTTCATGAAAGGAATGTTAATCACTGCCCCAACACTAAATATCCTCATGTGAATATGTAAACCTAGTAACAATGTATTCAACCAGACGTTTCCTGTAATTGTTTGTCTCACATTGGCTTTTGTGAATTTTGTCCTATTCTTCCTTACAAAACTGCTTCATATCAGTGACCTTTGAGGCCATGAACAGCTCACTTCAAGTTTTGCTATAACATTTCAGTGGGGTTTAGGTGTGGAATTTGAATTGGTCTATCCAAAATGATTTTTTTTTTCAGCCATGGTGTTGTACATCTGTGTATATACTTCAAATCATTCTCTACCTGCATGACTTACTTCCAGGTCTTCTTTAAAATCTCATGAATATATGAAGAATGTTGACCAAGCTAGATTCCTTGGAGTTTTATATTCTTTTAAGGAAACAAGTGACTCATTGGTTATAAATGCAAACCTGACTTCACCAGGATATAACTAATTAGATTAAGGGCAATTCAACAAATACCATTAAGAAACCGCACTCAGTACATCTTACTCAACACAGATCATGTTTTATAAATCCACAGCATTTCGTCGCGTGGGGTGAGAGGTACAGTATATACACTAATAATGTAGATTTATGTACAATATGTATATAAAAAGAACTTAAGACATTAAAGTTCAGCAATACAGGACAACCAATAGACGATCATTTAGTAAAGTATATATACTAAATATAAACCTACCGCTACAAACTGTAATTTGCGCTGCATCTAATACCAGGAAACACTGCAACTTTGATACAAAACTATTTTAAGAACGTAGCATTTGAGCGACTAACTATACCGGTAGTAATAATTTGTTTATTCGAAACACTCCTTGACATCCTTGTTATTTGATAAGAGTTGCGCATAAACATTTCAATACAAGAAAGTAAACAAAATGGTTACGATAATGCACGTGTATATCAATGAAGGAGAAAGATATCATTAGCACAAATACAGAACGATTTGCTGCTCTCCTATTATAATTTACCACTATTTTTCATACCTTCATGCCTACTGACATATATGTCAATAAAACCGTATTAATCATACAAAAACATAAATGCATTTCACAATTTGTACATTTAAAAGATATTACTCGCAGCACACATGCAAAGTATATCCAGCTTCTGCTAATTACAGAATGGAAACAGTGTCAATAATCCCACTAGCATGTTTAAACGCGCAGGCGTACTTTCAGTCAATGATAAAGACAACAAGAACTACAATTTAATGCAGTATTACAGTCCATATTCTAATTAGATTAAGAACACCCTTCTAAGCAGCGGCTTTTGAGTGTTTTGCAGTTTTCTACAGCGCAACAGTTAAGAACCTCATAAACTCAGTATTCGTGAAATGTTGAGTCTTGTTACAAAGACATAAAGCCCTAACCATGTGTTAGTACTCAAAATGATTCTTAACAGTTGCACACACACATTTCCACATATGTGTCTGTTTTCTATATAAATGCTCTGTTTTGTATCTTATAGTATAATTAGAACATTTGTTCATGGTTCAAACGATTTTGGTTAGCCTGTCACCGTAGGTTTTACGGAGGCCTGTAATGATTTATGTATGTTTGTATAAATGCAGATCTCAAATCATGTCCATTGCATGTAACTATTTACAATATTAAGATATTTTATGTAATGCAAGAAATAGTCTAAGCACACCACATAACCATGAACTGTACGCCATAATTATTCAGTGGTCCAATTTTTATGTATTGCCGCATTAAATACATACCTAGAACAACACAGATTATATCAAGGACAACGAATGGGATTCCTGTTCCTTCAAACATGTTCGCTCTTCTTGCTCCTCAGTTCCCTATTAAATAGTCAATTGTTCCTTATATGACGTTATGTTCTCAGAGGTTTTATCGGCGTCCCTTTAGAAAACTCAAGTCTAATACTGTATCTTCTGTGAATTAAGCCTTAAAATAAAACGTCGTTTGAATTCTTAAATTCTCGCAGACGACAATCTTTTTCATACAGCGATTTCACTGGAGTAATTTTTAGGAAATAAGAATCTTCTTTTACATATAACAAAAAGCGACCCTCGCTCACTAAACTTGACCCACCCCCACCGTCTCATCAAGCACCAATTCTCTCTATTGTTGCCGATGCGGTGAAATCCAGTCCCGAACTAAGCTTGGAGAGATGATCCCTCAAAGATGTCATGTTGATAACTGTGGCAGGGGTCAGGCGAGGAGCCTATCGCGTTCTTGCCAGAACAATACGAAACCCCTCGCCACGTCTAAATCGCTCCACCTTCTAAACTCGTTGCGTATAGTTCAGCCCTGCCTACACTTTAGAGGTTGAACACTCCTCCGCTTATACGTCAGTGCTGTTTGTTATTAACATAGGGATTTCCCCAGTATGAATTTGTATAAGCCTTTAGCATATTATTTGTATTTTTTTGGTAGAATGGATTCCTTTTGCTATGCTATGAATACTGCACCTCATCTCAATTTAAAGAACACCATTACAGTGGGAATCTAAGAAGGGATAAGAAGGATGCAGTCGCTTATTTTCCACGGGGCGATAATTGTACCTTTACAGATTTTTTTTTTTAAATGAATCAAGAACTGAATCTGAAAAACGTCATCTGCATAACATCAGAATTGAACGCTGCCGAAAAGCAAATTATTTTTTTCCCTTTTTCATCTCGGGAATTGGACACGGACTCTTTGGAATTCACACCTTTAATAGTAATCAAAGCGCCTAAATCCAACTAATGTCATCCACATGAAGCAACATTTCAAGTAGCTGGTTTGTTGAACGTTATACCAGGTCTAATCCGAATTAATTCCACATCTGTTCAAAGCTATGAGGTGTAATTGTATACGTTGTAACCATATGCACATCTATGCAAATTAAATGTAAGTGTTGTACAATTTTTAAACATAAATAAAAGTATATTGATATATAATATTCTACCATGTAGTGACGTGATATGCATATTCTTGAGTACATTTCTGTTAGGATAATTAAAGTGAGTGCAATAAAATAGTCTCTGGTGTTTTCTGTGTTGTTAAAATGTGTTAATAATGGAAGCTCAAATTGTTGTAAAATAAGCATAGCCCTATTAAATGCTCCTCTGTGGAAACTGTTTTTTTCATTTATCTGGCAATTGATTTGTATTACATCCCATTATACCTTTAATATCATAGAATGAATTACTGTTTGATGGTTATTTACTTTGCTTTGTTTTTCTTTTGATCATAAAGAGCTTGACCCATCACATGAATTGCAGCCTCTTCTGAGACGGAACAGAATATCCATCCTTCCATTTTCTAGCTGCTTCCAATCCAGGGTTTTGTTGGAGCCAGAGCCTGTCCTGGAAAGCAACAGATGCAAAGCAGGGTACACCTGGATGGGATGCTAGTCCATCACACAGCACACAGAACACAGACACAGATGCAGACACGCACACACTCACAACCAGGGCCAGTGTTTCCAGAAACCAATTAACCTACCAGTATGCCTTTGGACTGTGGGAGGAAACCAGGCACCCAGAAGAAACTCACACAAATGGGCAGAACATTCATACTTCATGCAGACAGCACTCCAGGTCTGAAACTGAGCCCAGGGCCTCGGCACTGTGAGGCAACAATGCTAACTACTGTGCCACAATGCTGCTCTAACAGAATATCCATTTTGTGGAAACAAAAACAACATTGTGACCATTGAAACATCCCAAAAGGAAAGAAAAGCAGGAACCAGATAGTTTCCGTGAATTTTACAGAAGTCTTCAGACAGTGTAGATTTTGTTCACAAATGTTAGACTTGGCCTTGGCACATAAGTTGTTTCTTTGAAGATTTTGAACTCTCATGGAGCTCTTGAAAGTCTTAAAGTGACTTCTGTCATCATACTTCCAAACAGGATGGACAAAATGAAAACTTTAAGAATCAAAGTTTGTAAACAGCTTATTTTAGGCAGCAGTGATGTGCTGACACTATCTGCCCTGTAGTACCACAGAAACCTGTCTTCAGTTCCTTAGTGTCAGCATACGGCTTATTTGGCTAGGCAAATTAGGAAATGAATTAAGGAATGGGCTGGCCTTTATGTGGTTCCCCTTTTTAAGAAGATATAACTTTGCCACTGATTCAGCGAGAAAGTTAATTCATGTCCCTATGTTTTGTCCTTTGAATGAAGTTTCAAATCAATCTTATTGAAATTAAATGAAATTGTAGGTCTATTAAAGTTGGTTTGGAATTAAAAAATTCTGCTTTATGATTTCTAGGTCAAGCTTTGTCATGTTTAAAAGTGAACTCCTTTCATTTTCCAGGATACACTAACAGTGGAAAGAAAAATAGATGCACAATTTTGTCCACAAAGAAGTGAGAAGTAAATCAGCCCTGCACAGTAACAAGTTCTCAATAGGACAGAGCAGATTAATTTTCAGTGAAGCAATATGGTAGGATGTTACTGTACTTAGTGCTGCTGCCTCACAGCTCTTGGTTCCTGAATTTGATTCCAACCTGTTGTGCCTATTGTGTAGAGTTTGCATCTTTTCTCAGTGTTTGCAGGGGTTTCTCTCTTGTGTCCACTGACAGTAAGTCTGCCATGTGCAACAACAAGGTAGGAACAGAACTTAGAATTAATTGTGTCTTATACTATCCATCCTCCTCTATCCACTGTTCTCCATGACTGAGATTGAGGGAATAGCAACTTTTCCCCTAATATGTTCAAGTTGATAAGATATGATATGATATGATAAGATCACTTTATTAGCCACATACAATTTCTTGTATTAGGAATTTGTCTTTTCACAAACCCCAGCTTGCTCTTCATGAAACACACAGGCAGGGAGAGAGAACCTTGGGTTCAGCCATTTATATGGCATCCCTGGAGGAGTTGTGGTTAAGGGCCTTGCTCAGTAGGATTCCTCTGCTGGTTGCAGGATTTGAACTGGCAACCTTCCAGCCACAGGCACAGATCCTTAGCCACAGTACCACCGCTCTGCCCAGTGTTGCATGTGGCTAATGGAAGGCTGAGTCTGCATACGAATGTGAAGGTCACCTGGAGCAATGGCAGAGGGTCATCAAGTTCAAGTTCAAGTTCAAGTTTATTGTCATTACACTCATATACATGGTATATGGTATAACGAAATGCTATTTAGCTAGCTCTCAGACATAAGTAGTACAAAGAGAAAAAACAACAACAACAATAACAACAACAATACAATTGTGTAGAAAAAGAAAGACAGAGACAACAGGCAGTGTGCAAAAAACAACAACAGACGATGTGCTAAAAACCAACAACAGGCAATGTGCAAAAAACAACAACAGGCAATGTGCAAAACAACAAAAAGGTAATAGGTTATGTGCAAAAATATGCATCAACAGAATAAAATAAAGGGATAGATATTATGGGAAGTGAGCTTTTGACATGTATGGTAGAGGTAGATTTTCAATGTGTGTTTGGGTTTTTGGAAAGAAAGAAAGGAAGAAGGCACTGTGAGGTTCAGATCATAGGTAAGAGGTGAGGTGAGAGTGAGAGTGAGAGAGGCTGGGAATTTAACAGTTTGATAGTGCGGGGGTAAAAACTGTCTCTGAGTCTGGTACTCCGGGCCCAAATGCTCCGGTACCGTTTTCCAGATGGTAGCAGATCATAAAGTCTGTAGCTGGGGTGTATGGGGTCTTTGATTATGCTTAGAGCTTTCCTCAAGCACCGTCTATCATAAATGTCCTGTATAGATGGGAGGGTAACCCCAGTGATGGACTGGGCAGTTTTTACCACCCGCTGTAGGGCTTTGCGGTCAGCAGCACTGCAGTTGCCATACCACACTCTGATGCAGCCTGTCAGTGTGCTTTCTGTAGTGCATCTGTAAAAGTTAGTGAGGATCTGGGGACATATCTTAGCCTTCTTCAACCGTCTTAGGAAGTACAGGCGCTGTTGCGCTTTCTTGATCAGACAGGTGGTGTTGAGAGACCATGTGAGGTCCTCGGTGATATGGACACCAAGGAATTTAAAGTTACTGACCCTTTCAACTTCAGTCCCGTTGATGTGGATAGGGGCATGTCCGGTTTGCAGTTTCCTGAAATCAACGATCAGCTCCTCGGTTTTGCTGACGTTGAGGGTGAGGTTGTTGTCATCACACCATGTTGTAAGGAGATTGACCTCCTCCCTGTAGGCCCTCTCTTCATTGTCTGTGATCAGACCTACAACTGCGGTGTCATCGCCAAACTTGATGATGGAGTTGGTGTTGTGTTTGGCCTTACAGTCATGGGTATAGAGGGAGTAGAGCAATAGAGGGAGTAGAGCAATGGACTAAGCACGCACCCCTGGGGGACCCCAGTGTTCAGAGTTAGTGTGCCGGAGGTGTGGTTTCCAAGCCTGACAGCCTGAGGTCTGCCTGTCAGAAAGTCCTGAATCCAGCTGCAGAGGGTGGTGTTGAAACCCAGTGCACTGAGTTTCTTGACTAGTTTCTCTGGGATGATAGTGTTAAAAGCTGAGCTGAAGTCAATGAATAGTAGTCTTGTGTATGTGTTCTTTTTGTCCAGATGGGATAGGGCCGTGTGTGTGGCAATGGAGATTGCGTCATCTGTGGATCTGTTGGACCGGTAGGCAAACTGGTACGGGTCCACTGTGTTTGGGATGGTGTCCTTAATGTGCTTCATGACCAGCCTCTCGAAGCACTTCATGATGACAGGTGTTAGGTGTTAGTGATGCATAATGCATCACACAACGTGCATGCATTATGAAAGAGATTATGCTCTGATTGACATTCCACACAATTCCTGTTTTCTTCCATTTGTTCCACACTTGCCACCAATTCAGAAACAATACTTGTTTTCCCACACCACATTTCGTACAAGCAGATGATAAAGAAGGAAATCAAATAGACTTATTGTAAAATAGTCCATACTAAAAATAAGGTGTCACAATGCTGGGAGTTTCAACAATGAAACAGTAGTCCATTTGGATTCTTGTATGTGGACAATGGATTAAATTGTCCACGTTTTATTAAAAATGCAGAGTTTTAAATAACTAATTTAATAATAATGGTTGAAAATGAATGTTGGACAGGAAGAATATTGGATTTATTCTTTGTGAAGAAGGTTCTAATAAGAATGTTTGAATACCATAGGTGAGGTAAATTCAAGCACAATTAATGTAGCTTCATAAATGAGCACCACCCTGTACACATACAAGTACAAGCATGCAAAGGCCACAGAAGTGATTAAATTAATTTAAAGTACCGATTTGAAAAGGTGCATACAAGCTCTTACA